ACGTGTTTCAACCACTGCCATTATCCTGCTGAAAAAAAAAAACAAACCTGCAACCTTCATTATTCCTAGAAAAAAAATATTGAAAAGCTTTAGCCATTGCAGTTTCTTAAAGGAATGTGGTGTGTGCTGATTTTTTTCCCTCCATTGACATACATACTGCATCTGTATGAATAACAGTGCAGACATCCAATAGCAAATAGGATATTCACAATTTTTCATTACAGAATCACATTTGCAATGTTTGTGTCAGCACTTTCCTAATAAGCCTCCATATGTAGGAGTTCACAGCTCTGACCAAAAAAAAAAAAAAAACCCCACACACATGCAAGTTGAAACTTGATAACTAGAGCTTCAGCCAAGGGGGAACTTTTATGAAATGTTTGGTGGAAATCAGACAACTAGTTATTCTACAGGAAAGATAATAAAAATGGTTGACTTAAAAAAACAAACTATTCTCTACTTTGCTATGGATGCGCATGTTTAAAGCTCATGGGACTGACCTTAACATTTAAGGGAGAATACACCCTCTCTATTAAGGGTCCAGTGTATGATCCAAAGCTCACAGGAGTCAATGGAAAGACTCTTATTGAGTTCAATGGGCTATGGGTCAGTTTAATAACACTGCAGTCCTTCACCAGGGCAAAATTGGAATGTTTTGCCTGAGTAAGAAATGCAGAAAATTCATTCATTCACATTTTCTCTCTATATATATTATATTTATACATACACAATTATATATATATATATATACACACACAAAAGCATATTATGTCCTTTATAGAAAAGACACTCAGGAGCATGGTAAGTGGGGGAAAAATGGAACTTTACTTATTAGGTATTTTGCCTGACACCATTAAGCAGCCCTCACAGGTAACCATTTGTCCCTTATTTTACATGATGTCCCTTTTTAGGGTGACCAGATGTCCCGATTTTTGGGTCTTTTTCTTATATAGGCTCCTATTACCCTGCACCTCCTGTCCCGATTTTTCACACTTGCTGTCTAGTCACCCTACTCTTTTTCAGGGCATAATGTTCACATCCTAGATCATGTAAATATTGGACACCCATGTCTTTCTCCTCCTCTGTCACTTCCAGTTGACACATCCCCAGGTTAGTCCTTATATACATGACATTTGCACTATTAAATTTCATCCCATTTCTTTTACACCAGGGTGTCATCCAAGTCTCCTTGTATGATATTCCATTCCTCCTCCATATTGGCAATACTTCCCAACTTTGGCTTGGTCTACACTACAGTGGGGGTGGGACAGGGGCACAAAATCGATTTAATTTACACAACTTCAGCTACCTGAATAACATAGCTGAAGTTGACATACTTAGATCTACTCACCGCAGTGTCTTCACTGCGGTGAGTCGACTGCTGATACTTCCTCATCTACTCCGCCTGCACCTCTCGGCCTGGTGGAGTACAGGAGTTGATGGGAGAGCGCTTGGGGGTTGATTTATTGCCTCTAGACTAGTATACGCACACCCTCTGTGTCATCCACAAATTTTATTAGAAAATCCCCATTTTGTGCACCAAGGTCATTAAGGAAAGTGCTAATAAAGATTGATCCCAATACCAAGCCCTGAGGAACTCCACTAGTAACTTCCTTCCAGCCTGACCATTCACCTTTCAGTATGACCTGTTGTAGTCACCCCATTAACCAGTTATTTACCCATCTTTCAATTCTCCCATCAATCCCCACCTTCTCCAATGTAATTTATAATTTCTCCTGTGGAATTGTATCAAATGCTATACTGAAATACAAGTAGCTTAGATCTATTGCATTTCCTTTGCCTAGAAAATCATTTAGTTATCTACTAAAAAAAAAAAATCAGGTTGATCTGGCATGATCTACCTTTTGTAAAGTCATGTTGTATTTTTGTCCAGTTACCATTTATCTCTATATCTAAACTTCCATCTCTTTCCAAACTAGTTCTAAGACCTTGCATATGATTGAGTTCAAACTAATGGGCTTCTAGTTTCCAGGATCACTTCCCCCACCTTTCTTAAATGCACGTACAGTAGTTGCAATCCTCCAGTCATGGGGTACAATCCCCAAGTTTACAGATGCATTTAAAATCCTTATTATTGGACTTACAATTTCATGTCACTTCCTTTAATATTATTGGATGGATATTATATTCTTGGAACGAGTTTCCTATAGTGTTGCATCAGAATCTAAATCTGCTTATTGCTAACACATCAATATTCTTTTGCAATGATTACATTAAGTCAGAATACAAATCCAAGACAGACATTAAGAAAATAATCAAGAAAGTTACAATTTACACCAGCAGTGATCTGGACCTACTTTTTTCCTAAGATTTTGTTTTATTGCTTTGTGTTAATTGACATAGGCCTACTGAGGTCTATGAAGCTACACCAGTATACCTAGCTGAGGACATGGTCCTAAACATTCTTGAGTACCTAGTCTGAACTGGGCACTATGCATATAAACCATTTTTTTTGTTAAGATATGAGTACAAAGAATAAACACTGACAATTTGTGCATATCCTTTTTAACTATATTTAGACAAAAAGACTATGTAAGACTCAAATGCCTTACAAATTCCATACAGCCTTATATCTTATAGTGCAGAAAAAAGGTCTTTCAGATTATGCTTAATCATATATAAACTAAAATAAATCCTCAAGCACACCCTACAATAGCTTTGTAAAGCCAATACAACTACCCTCTCATGCATGACTAATATTGCTAAATGGTAAGTGTCTGATGCAGAAATATATAAAATTGAGAAAAATTCAGATAGTAGTTTAAATTGATCAACCATGCATTATACAATGTAGTTATGATCATCAGTCATTACATCATATTGTGCCACTGTTGGGTACATTTAATTCAACATAAAGTGATCAAGCAGTTAAATAAATGATAAAGCCTTCTTCAGACAATATAACCCAGCAAATGTCAGGCCCATTGAAAAAGCATGCATTCTGAAAATAATAGGGTTAACTCTAAGGCTTGTAAAACTCACACACAGTTGTGCTCATTCAGACATGAAACTAAGTACAACAGTAATATTGTATAGATAAGAAATTCTAGCATTGATCACTTCTACTGATTATTCATAATAAAGCATACTTTCAAAGAAATTGTATAACTATTTTATATTCTTGTATTACAAAAGCATCGATTTCATACACTTAAGGCCTGATTCTTTGCTCCAGTATACCAGTTTTACATGGGTGTAACTCTTGATTTCAATAGTCACAAAACTGGCATAAAAGAGTAGAGAATTTGGCCCTAATATGTCAGAATCGTATGTCTATTCCACCTTTTTTCCCCTAAAGCAATCAAATAAGAATCCTTCAGCTTCTGTGGCAGGTGCAAATGATAGTCAACAAATCATCCATTACAGATCACTCAACCTGACCTATCCTTAATTCAAACTGTGAAATGGGTAGGTCATAGATATGCACTAATTCCATGCAGAAACCAAGTGTTCTATGAAAGAAATGGCTGTTTCCTCTCCCCACATCTCCCCTCCAAATCTGAATCTTGTTGTTTTAGACTCCCTTGAACCCTGACAGTTCATCTTTCAAAATGTGAAATGAAAACAATGTGGTGCCTACCCTACATAGTAGAAAAATTACTGAGGAAAACCTTATTCTCTTATTACACTAGCGGTCACAGACCCTATCAGTCTCAGAGGATGACAGAAAATCATTGAAACAAAACTCTCTATTGTCCAGCAATGATAAAGAAAAGTACAGTTCATCCCTGAACCAGCGTATCAGTTGTCACTGAGCAGTGACAGCATCTAAAATGCTTGCCTGCCGAGTCCTGAGTCATTGGGCTGAACTTCTGCCATGTTTTTACATTAGGCTCTTACCTGCCGCACAATCATTTGCTGACTCAGTCAGAGATAAATGTGTTAGCCATGGATAGAACAGAGCTGAAAAAAAGAAAAGAAAACAAACTCAAGAACATGGGAAAATGAGAAAATTCTGTACAGATCATGAAGATAAATACTGGAAATAATCCTAGCACCTATGTTAAAACAATGCATGAAACTCTCTGCAATGGGCTCCTTCTGAAGACTCCCCCCACAATTCCAATAATAGTTCTTCACATACTTTCACATTAGCTCTATGGTCTGTACTGTACATATTTTAAATATGAACTGCTCTGTCTCAGAGCTGCACGGGGCGGGGGGGGAGGGCGGGAAGGGAGGGGAAGGCAAGTGGGGCAATTTGTCCCAGGCCCCCACGAGAATATAGTATTCTATAGCATTGCAACTTTTTTTATGGAAGGGGTCCCCGAAATTGCTTTGCCCCAGGCCCCCCGAATCCTCTGGGTGGCCCTGCTCTGTCTATTTTTGGTTCATTTTCTTTAAACTTTAAGTACTATTTTTTTTAATTGAAAAGAGAGCCTGAAAAGATGATATTTGGGCCAGTTCATCCGTGGAGCTAAACAAATTTACACCAGTTGATGTCAGGGTAGCACTCTATTTCAACTGAGGTCTGGCTCCTTATTCTTCTCCTCAGCAAAGAGACACTGAGAAGTCTAATTATGAAATAACCACTACCATGAAATGCTAATTTAAAATAGACCAAGATATGGTGGGCTAAACAGCATGGTTTCTGTAAAGGAAAATCATGTCTCACTAATTCCTTAGAATATTTTGTGAAGGTCTGTGTGACATATGGCGATTTCCTGCATATTCTTAGGAGACTTCATTAAGAATAAGTATTTTGGGGTTCCATTGCATTAAAATGCAGTTTACACATAATTGTGAACCAGGGTTTTATGTAACATCTCTAAAGGGGAGATGTGATGGGAGGCTTATGAGTTCAGAGGACTTTATTGAAAGGTGTGCCAGATAGGAATGGACTTTTGGAATAATATGTGTTAAATGGATTTCCTGGGAAATACCTAAGGGAAGGTTAATGCACATTTCCCGCCCTTGGTTGTGAAAAAACCCAGCTGCTACACCCTGAGGAAGGGGTCATTGCCTGCTGATTACCTGGCCCCAGGAACTAGAGATCAAAAGGTGAGCTGCTGTTCTGATTCTAAATCTAAGTCAGTTATGAACTTGCAACCATGGGAAGATGCAGTT